AATGAGATTGACATATGCATATCAATACGGAAACAACAATTTTGCCAATAAAATCTAAAAACTAGATAGCTTAATGGGTTTTAATTAAAACGAGTAAGAAAGTATTGTCGGGCGTGGCCAACCATATGATACCCTACACCATATGATATCCTACGCATTTATCTTCAATATTCCCTTGTTCCGATACATTTAAGCAATTTATGGATGAAAAACTAATTTTCTGAAAGAGGCTTTATATGGGGGCAAGGGGCAAATATGGACCAAGTCCGATAAAATTTTGTGAATACATTTATATTTACATAATATTTTATTGTGCTGAATTTAATCGCGATATTTGTGTTTATAAGTTAATTTTGGACATTCAAGTAATTTTCTGAAGGTGACTTTGTATGGGAGCTAGGATCAAATGAGTCCCGATCTCTATGAAATTTGGCATGGTCATCAAGGCTCGTATAAAACTTAGTTGTGCCGCTTTTTATTAATATACAGGTATTTTTAATATAATTATGAGCTCAGCAGCCCTTTTCGGGGGGTTCTGTTGTATGGGGGCTAGGTGAAATAATGGACTGTAGGCACCACTCCTAATACTTTATACTTTATATTCTAAAAACATTTTTAATCAAATATTCTTTTTTATATTGTAAAAAATTTTCATTAGATTTTTAACTAAAAACACATTAGAAGCAATTTTGACTGTTAACAAATAAATATTTTTAAATTTTTATAAAATATTAATGTGTCTTCATTTATAATTGGTGACCCCGTAAGAAAAGTTAATATAATTGCAACAATCAACATGCCTGTTTTTGAAGACTTGCCATCAAGAAGCGCATCGCAAGAGATGCCACAATCAAATCCTACACCACCTCCGGCAGTGTCTCCAGAAATTTCTTCTGCAAAAACTCCTAAACTTCCTGCATTTTGGAAGGATAAACCAGAGGTTTGGTTCCTTCAAGTTGAAGCAAGTTTCCGTATGTGTGGAATAACTCAAGACACTACCAAATTTGAATATTTGGTAATGAATTTGGACCAATCTGTATTATTTTTGGTTAAAGACATAATTATTTCTCCACCTACATCTGGTAAATATGAAACTCTAAAAGAGCGCATAATCAAATCATTCGCTGAATCTGCAGAGCATCAACTAAAACTATTACTAAGTGGTATGGATATGGGTGACCAAAAACCATCCCATTACCTTCAACGTATGAAATCTCTTTCCAACGGTAAAGTTAGCAGTGATATTTTGAAAACACTCTTTATGGAACGTTTGCCGGACAAGGTTAAGAGTATTTTAGCTGTTTGTGAAACAAATGACGTTGATAAATTATCTTTCCAAGCCGACAAAATTGTTGAAGCTTTTTCAAGTTCAACATCCATGTTTGTTTCTGAAGTATCTACGCCTCAAAATGCAGATATTTCGAGTAAATTGGACAACATTATTTCTCGGATTGATGCTTTGGAAACTCACTCACTGTCAAGTCAACGCACAAATTCCTCATCTTTTAAAGCTCGATCTCGTTCAAGAGGAAGTTTAACAAATAGAAAGGAGTCAGGTTTATGTTGGTACCATTGGCGTTTTGCTGAAAAAGACGAAAATGTATTCAACCGTGCAAATTTGAAACACAAAAAAACTAAACAACTCTCATACAAGTTCTTCGACCGCTTGTATGGATGAATTATATAATGGTCGTTTATTTATAACAGAAAAATACTCAAAAATATAATTTCTTGTCGACACTGGGGCTGAAATTTCAGTATACCCTTGTAAAAATCGTAAGTCACCTCAAAAACTTTCACTATACGCAGCAAACGGTACAGAAATCAAAACCTATGGCAATATCGTTCTCAATTTAGACTTAGGTTTACGTAGGTGTTTCAAATGGAAATTCGTAATTGCTGATGTATCGCGCCCAATCATCAGAGCTGATTTCCTTCGTCATTACCATCTTCTTCCAGACTTGAAGCAGAGAGCGTTAGTTGATGGTACAACCAATCTAAAAACGAATGGTAATATAGTCAATGAATCGTTTGCTGGCATCAAAATGGTTTCTGGTGATAGTATATATCACAATTTGCTTAAAAAGTATCCAGAAATTTTCACTCCATCTGATACTTTTGAATCAAATCATGGCATCTATCATCACATAATCACCCAGGGACCAAGTATTTCGTGTAGGCCGAGGCGACTAGATCCTGTTAAATTGAAAGCTGCTAAAGATGAATTCCAGTACATGTTGGACAAAGGAATAATTAGACCATCCAGCAGTAACTGGTCAAATCCCCTTCATATGGTAAAAAAACCTAACGGTGAATGGCGTCCCTGTGGTGATTACAGGGCTCTAAACAGAATAACTGTTGCCGACAAATATCCTGTCCCATATTTAACGGATTTTCAAATGACTCTTCATGGATCGGTAATTTTTTCAAAATTAGATCTAATTAAAGCTTTTCATCAAATCCAGTACACCCAGATGATATTCCGAAGACTGCAGTAATCACACCCTTCGGGTTATTCGAGTTCCTGAGAATGCCCTTCGGGTTGTGCAATGCTGCTCAAACATTTCAGCGCTTCATTGACGGAGTTTGTAGAGGACTTGACTTCGTATTCATCTACATTGATGACGTTTGTGTTTTCTCAAAATCTGAAGAAGAACATATTAAACATCTGAAGATCCTTTTTGAGCGGTTTAAAGAGTATGAAATTAAAGTGAATCCCGCAAAATGCGTTTTTGGTGCTACAGAGATTGATTTCCTTGGACATCACATCACTTCAAATGGTATTTCCCCACTTCCAGAAAAAGTCAAGTGTATCAACGAATACCCTCTACCAAAAACCATTAAAGAATTGAGAAGATTTCTAGCTATGCTGAATTTTTATCGCAAATTCCTTCCTCATGGTGCTACTGCACAAGCTATGCTCAATAATTTTTTGAAAGGGACAACAAAAAAGAATGACAACCGAGAAATACCCTGGACACAAGAATCCATAAATGCATTTAACAACTGCAAGAAAGCATTAGCTGATACAACATTTTTGGCCCACCCAGCTCCAAATGGAAAATTGGCACTAAAAGTTGACGCATCAAATTTCGCTGTTGGTGCAGTTCTCGAACAATTCGTTGACAAGTCCTGGCAACCCCTTGGATTTTTCAGTAAAAAACTTAACACCACTCAAGGGAAATACAGCACATATGACCGTGAACTTTTAGCTATATATAAAGCTATTCGTCATTTTCGTCATCTATTAGAAGCCCGAAAATTTACCATATATACTGATCATCGGCCATTAACATTTGCGTTTAAACAAAAATTAGATAAGGCATCACCCCGTCAGAGAAACCATCTTGATTTTATTGCTCAGTTTTCTACTGATATTAGGCATATATCTGGAGTGGAAAATGCTATAGCCGATGCTCTTTCGCGAATTGAGGAAATTCAAATTCAAGCCATAGATTACAAAAAGTTAAGTGAATCTCAAAGGAAAGACCTCCAACTTAAAGAGTTGTTGCAGTCTCCAGGTAATTTAAAACTTGTTCTTATAACACTTCCAAATACAGATTATCAAGTCCATTGTGAAATGTCAACTGGTGTAGCTCGGCCATATATTACAAACGAATTTCGAAAGATAATATTTAAAAATATTCATACACTTTCTCATCCTGGAATACGTGCGACTAGAAAACTCATTTGCTCCAAATTTTTTTGGCAATCAATGAACAAGATTGTCAACGATTGGTCTCGTGGTTGCCAAGACTGTCAACGTTCCAAAATTACTAGACGTATCAAAAGCCAACTTGCAAATTTCCCTGTTGTGACTAACCGGTTTTCAATGATTCATTTGGACATCGTTGGACCTTTGCCTCCATCAGAGGGATATTCATATATATTAACATGTGTTGATCGTTTCAGCCGTTGGCCCGAAGCTTTTCCACTTAAGATATTAAAGCTGAGACCGTATTCAGAGTTTTCTATGAAGGTATGTCGTTTTGGTGTTCCAAGTACTATCGTAACTGATCGAGGTAGTCAATTTACCTCCCACATGTTCAGTGAGATTACAAAGAATTTGGGTATAGTTCACAATTTCACAACATCATACCATCCACAAGCAAATGGAATGGTAGAACGTTTTCACCGAACATTGAAAGCCGGTCTCACATGTGCTGACAATAAACAATGGACTGTCTCATTAAATACAGTTCTGTTTGGATTAAGGGCAAGCATAAAAGAGGAACTTGGTTCATCTCCATCAGAAATGTTGTATGGAGAAATGGTACAACTTCCAGGGGAATTCTTTAAAACCTGTGATCAATTAGATCCTACATCCCATCTAGCAACAATTAGAGAAATAGTTACTAACCTTAAATCTACAGAAATCTCACATCATCAAAACAATTCAACTAAGTTTTTTGTTTACCAAGATCTCAAGCAGTGTTCTCATGTTTGGGTACGACGAGACTGTTACTTAAAACCTCTACAACCTAAATATGCTGGACCGTTCCAAGTTTTGCAACGTAATCAAAAAACGTTTAAAATTTTGATTCAAAATAAACAGGAAACTGTATCAATAGACAGACTCAAGCCCGCATTTTTTGTACATGACGCTTTGGAAGCAAATATTAAAAATACTAAAAATAAGCAAGATATGTTGAGAACTAGATCCGACAAAACTGTAAAGCTTCAAGAACGTTTCCGTGTCCATTGAGAGGGGGGTACTGTAGGCACCACTCCTAATACTTTATACTTTATATTCTAAAAACATTTTTAATCAAATATTCTTTTTTTATATTGTAAAAAATTTTCATTAGATTTTTAACTAAAAACACATTAGAAGCAATTTTGACTGTTAACAAATAAATATTTTTAAATTTTTATAAAATATAAATGTGTCTTCATTTATAGGACCGATTTTAACCATTTTCAACAGACTTCGTCCTTGTGTGCCAAATTTCATCCAATTATCTTGAAAATTGTGACCTGTACCTTGCGCACAAGGTTAACATTGACAGCCAGCCAGACGGACGGACATAGCTTAATCGACTCAAAAAACGATTCTAAGCCGATTGGTATACTTTAAGGTGGGTATAGGACGAATATTTTTGTATGTTACAAACATCAGCACAAACCCAATATACCCTCCCCACTAAAGTGGTGTAGGGTATAAATAGCTTGCTGGTGGAGGGTATTTTAGATTCGGCACAGCCGAATATAGCACTCTAACTTGTTTTATTATAAGGAAGAAATCACTGTTCTGAATATATTCATAATTATGTTCTTCAAAACATTCAAAACAACCTGTATAATACATACAGCTGTTAAGTTGCTGACTAGAACTCAAAGAATTTCCATTGAATGCATATGTTATATATAAATATCGTCATTTGTAGCTACTTTTAACCGATATTATCAATATATAAAATCTAAAAAAAATCGCTAGATTTCCCGCCAATAGCTAAGTCATATTTTTTCCCGCAATGGGACTAAAAATCACTAGATTTGACGAGAAAATAGCTAAATTGGCAACAGTGGTCCGAACGGAAACATATAGAGGGTTGTATGGGGCCATGCGAAAACGTGGAAATGTTGCCCATTTTCAATTTAGTAAATTTCAATTCCCTAGCTCTTTTCGTTTGGTCTCTATCGTGATTTCAACGGACGGAAATGGCTAGATCCTCTTAGAATTTAATAAGGACCTATAATATACACACATGTTTACTTTTGTGGGTCTATGACCAATATTTCGACGTATTTTAAACGGAATAACAAAACCATTTTTGTTGATGGTGGGTATAAAAACATTGTATGATTGTTGTTAACTCATTCTTAATGTTGAAAATCTGTGGTTGTTAATCGTACATATTAAAACAAATAATTTTTTCGTTGCAGGTGGAGTACGTTCAAACTTATGCGGAATTTAAACAGAATTTCAAATGTAGTGAGCGTTGGTGTTGGAGACAAAGTAAAAAGGAGCAAATAAAAGATGTACGTTCTTAGCTATAAACATTGCACTATAAATAATATATATTTTTTTTATTTTTAGATACTTGGTCAAAAGTAAGGCAATAATTGGTGGAACATTAGAAAAATATAATGTCAGATAGCGGCAGTGGCGAAGAAGGACTTTCAGGATCAAGTATGAATTGTAATTTTTTTAAACTAACTTTAAAATCCTATATACATATATATAAAACAGACTGTTTGTTTGTTTGTTACGCTTTCACGGCAAAACTACTGAACCGAAACTGAACATGAAATTTGGACCGCTAATAGGTCTAACTCCAAAAGACACAATAGGCTACATAAGATCTTGGTCAGTTGCCACGCCCCTTTTTATGACCACTTTTTGTAAAACTATTATTACACATATTTTGCAATCACAATATGCAAAAACTGCTAAACCGATTTGCATGAAATTTTGCATACCGATTGGTATAAGCTTGGAAAGATCTATAGGCTATATATAAGATAGTGATCGGATGGCACACCCCTTTCTACGCCCACTTTTTATGCATGAAATTTTGCATACCGATTGGTATAAGCTTGGAAAGATCTATAGGCTATATATAAGATAGTGATCGGATGGCACGCCCCTTTCTACGCCCACTTTTTATAAAACTACTCTGTACCAAAATTGTAATGATATGCAAATTCGATAAATTTTATGAACTTAAGATTTGTGAATAAATGATATATCAAAAGAAAGTGCGTTCCTTATGGATTAAAATGAGGTATACGAAACTGCCGTAGCTTGAAAACTGACAAAGTTATTTGCGTGAATAGGGAAAATACATTGTGCTAAGAAATGTTCTATGTACCAAAATTGTAATGATATGTAAATTTTATGAACTTAAGATTTTTTAATAAATGATATATCAAAAGAAAGTGCGTTTTTATGGATTAAAATGAGGTATACGAAACTATCGTAGCTTGAAAACTAACAAAGTTATTTGCGTGAATAGGGAAAATACATTGTGCTAAGAAATGTACTTTATACCAAAATTATAATGATATGCAAATTTTATGAACTTAAGATTTTCAATAAGTGATATATCAGAAGAAATTGCCTTTTTATGGATTAAGTTGAGGTATACGAAACTGTTGTAGCTTAAAAACTGACAAAGTTATTTGCGTGAATAGGGAAAATACAATATACTGAGAAATGTACTCTGTGCCAAAATTGAAATGATATGCAAATTTGATCAATTTTATGAACTTAAGATTTTTTAATCCTATATATGTATCTATATCTATGTATATAAAAATGAATGTGTGTTTGTATGTTTGAACGTTATAGACTACTAAACGGCTGAACCAATTTTATTCAAATTTTCACAGCGTATTCCTGTATGTCTGGAATAGGTAATAGGCTATTTTTTATTTTAAAATTCCAAGTAGGCGAGGAGCCACACCCATATTGAGAAAATATTATATCCGTAATTTTGTCGGAGCAACTTTAGTGTCAATATAATTATTTAGGACAAATTAGGGGGTGTGGCACCTCCCATATAAATTAAATACAAAGCTACGTTTATCTTGGAAACTATTACAGTTTAAATCTTAAAATTTTGCACGAATAACTTTAACATCCATCTAAACATTTTGGGTAATAAATTGGCGGACTACCATTGAGGGGAGCGGCACCTACCATATGAATCAAACAGAAAAATTCGTATATCTGAGAAACTATTCGAGCTAGAATCTTCAAATTTTACATGAAGAACTTCATGTAAACATTTAGAGCATAACGGTCGGACTTTCAATGGGGAACTTGGCACCTCCCATATGCATTAAATATAAAATTTCGTTTATCTGGTAAACTAATAGAACTTGATTTATAAAATTTTGCACAAATTAGTTTAGTATCTGAACATTTTTGGACAAAATGGGCGGAATGGCTATAGTGGGCGTGGCACCTTCCGTATTAAGAAAATATTATATCTCAAAAAATATAACAGTTAGAGTCCTCAAATTTTGTCGGAGGCACTTAAGTTTCAATATGATTATTTAGGATAGCACTAGCACTAGGGGGCGTGGCACCTCCCATATTAATTAAGTACAAAAATTCGTTTATCTTAGAGTTAAAATCTTCAAATTTTTTAACATACCTGTAAACATTTTAGGTAATAAATTGGCGGACTACCAATGGGAGGAGCGACACCTCACATATGAATTAAATACAAAAAATCTTTTATCTTGGAAACTAATAGAAATATATTCTTAAAATTTTGCACTCAGAACTTTCATATTCATCTGAACATTTTGGGGAAAAAAGCGGACTTTCATCAGGGGGTGGCTTGGAACCCCCTTATGAATTAAATAGAAATAAGTTAGAGTGGATTTCAAATTTTATGGATTGATTCAAATTTACCTTAATATTATAGACTTACTTTCATTACGCCTTACAATATGCAATTAAAAACAAGTAAGAAAGTATAGTCGGGCGTGACCGACCATATGATACAATACAACAGTTATGAATATTAAATGTGATTTATTTTTCATAATAAAGAATTTATCTTCTATTACCTTGTTCCGATACATTAAAGAAATTTATGGATGAAAAACTAATTTTCTGAATGAAGCTTTATATGGGGGCTAGGGGCAAATATGGACCAAGCCTGATAAAATTTTGTGAATATATTTATATTTACATAGTATTTTATTGTGCTTAATTTCATCGCTATATTTGTGTTTATAAGTTAATTTTGGACATTCAAGTAATTTTCTGAAGGGGACTTTGTATGGGAGCTAGGGTCAAATAAGGCCCGATCTCTATGAAATTTGGCAAGATCATCAAGGTTTGTATAAAACTTAGTTGTGCCGCTTTTTTATCAATATACAGGTATATTTAACATAATTATGAGCTCAGAAGCCCTTTTCGGGGGGTTCTGTTGTATGGGGGCTAGGTGAAATAATGGACCGATTTTAACCATTTTCAATAGGCTTCGTCCTTGGGCAAGGAGTGTGTGCCAAACTCCATCCAATTATCTTGAAAATTGCGACCTGTACCTTGCGCACAAGGTTCACATGGACAGCCAGCCAGCCAGCCAGACGGACGGACGGACATAGCTCAGAAAACGATTCTAAGCCTATTGGTATACTTTAACATGGGTATAGGACGAATATTTTTGTATGTTACAAATATCAGCACAAACCCAATATACCCTCCCCACTAAAGTGGTGTAGGGTATAACAAAACTACCTTTTAAAACTGTCACAGAGCGTACTAAATTTAACCTAACTTCTGTATTTAAAATAATTTCTATGTGTAAGAGAAATGTATGGTAATAGTTATAGTTATAAAACTTATATAATTTTGTACGGGAGGTACAATAGATTTTCAACGTTGTTGATCCTATGAAAAAAAAAAATTGCTTTTAAATTTTTATTGTTGAACCGAATTTCGACACTTAATTTGATTTAAAAAAAAAAAAAAATTAAATTATTTATGACAAAAAAAGATAAATCGACCAGGAATCGAACCTGCAATGCTCAGTTTGTTAATTCTCCCTTCCATCCACAACACCACTTCATTATTTTGCCCTTCGTTAACTAATATTTTTCATATAAAAATGCCATGTTATTTTTTGTTTGTACAAAACATTGCTGCTGAATAACTGTTATCAACACTGATGTTGCTGAATAGCATAAGAAATTAACAGTTACACTTTCTCAATGTGCACTCTTATTTGATCTTGGGTTAACAACAATTTTTTACACAAACAGGAAAGAGAATTTCTATGTGAATATTAGTTGCAAGCAATTACGAAGTTAGTTAATAGTGTAGTGGAAATGGCGTAAAACTAGCAACTGGGAGATTTTAAGTTCGAATCCTGTTTGTTTTAGACAGTTTTTATTTAATTTTTGCGAAAAATAATAAATTTTTTAATCCCTATGGGTGGTACAAGAAATTGTAGACTGTTTTCGATTTTCAACTTAGTGGATTCCCAAACTATATGTATGACAAAATTCAAAAATAAATATAAATATAAACACAAAAAAAAAAAATATTATGTAAATATAAATATATTCACAAAATTTTATCAGGCTTGGTCCATATTTGCCTCTAGTCCCCATATAAAGCTTCATTCAGAAAATTAGTTTTTCATCCATAAATTGCTTAAATGTATCGGAACAAGGGAATATTGAAGATAAATGCTTTATTATGAAAAATAAATCACATTTAATATTCATAACTGGTGTAGGGTATCATATGGTCGGTCTCGCCCGACTATACTTTCTTATTTGTTTATTAATAACTTTATTTGGTAATGAGTAATGTGCGTTTAAGAGATTTTCGTAAAAGACCTTGTATGGGAGCTATGACCAATTATGTATATAAAGACAAAATTTCAAAATTCTGTATCTATATCATTATTTGGTAATGAATATTGTGCATTTAAGTGATTTTCTAGAGGGGACCTAGTATGAGAGTTATGAACAAATATGGACCGATCGTAAAATAATTTCATAGTTTAATTTTTGTATATAAGAGCAATATTTTTGCTAAATGTATGGATATAAATATTTTGTAATGAGTTATGTGCGTTTAAGTGATTTTCGGGAGGGAACCTTGTATGGGAGCTATGACCAAAGTTGGACTGATCATGAAAAAATGTTCAAATAACATTTCTGTGTACAAAAATAGTATTTATGCCAAATGTTTTATGGGTATCACTATTTGATAATGAGTGTTTAAGTTTAAGTGTTTTTCTGAAAGGGACCTTGGGAGCTATAATCAATTATGGACCGATAGGAAGCAAATTCACAGTAATATTTGTCTGTATATGAGCAATGCTTGTGCTAAACTTTATATAAATATCTTAATTTAGTAATGAGTTATGTGCGTTTAAGTGATTTTCGGAAGTGGACCTTTAATGGGAGCTATGACCAATTATGGACCGCTCGGAGAAAAACTTCACAGTAATATTTTCGTGCATATGTGGATATTTTAATTTTGTAATGAGTTATGTGCGTTTAAATGATTTTCGGGAGGGGACCTTGTATGGGAGCTGTGACCAATTATGGACCGCACGGAGAAAAATTTGACAGTAATATTTTCGTGCATATGAGCAATACGTATACCAAATTGTATATGGATATCTTAATTTAGTTGTGAGTTATGCGCGTTTAAGTGATTTT